ATATTTTTTAAGGACCGTTCATAATTTCACAGGCTCACATCATTGAAAACTGAAAAGAAAAAGAAGGAAAGTGCGAAGAAGCTTCCGAATTGAATTGAGTTTTTGCCGCACCGCTCCTGACAACATGTACCTAGCGAAGCCATTTGGTGAGGAATGGCCCCAGCATCACTCCATGTACCCAGAATTTTACACGCTTCTTTTGGACATCCTTGGAGATAATGCACATCAATGCAAGCATTTCAAATGCAATTATTTTAACTTAATTTAGAAAATTATTGTACGGACATTCGAGGATTATCAAGTTCAAACATGATTCCAAAAAATAATCAGTAGCAAACGATTTTTTTTTTTTTTTTGGGTAAGCCAACAGTAGCATACAACATTAGATAATTAGATGTAATGTCTTGACATCAAATATAATAACACTTTGATTTATATTAGTTACCAAGGAGTGGATCTCAATACACTTCTGAGTAGTATTGAGTCAGCTCTAAACCGAGGCGCCATTACCCACAGCTCTTACACACTTGGGGTGCACCTCGTACCCACATTCAAGACACTGGTAAGCCCAACCAGACCCCTGCTCGTCACAGTCACAGCATATGAAGGGCCCTCCTCCAGTGCCCTCCGATACCAATGTAAGTTCATGCCTATGCCCTTCATGATACGCAAACTTTGGTAAGTTCTTCGCCGCCTCGTCCATCTCTTTCCTTAGCAGCTGCAGCTTGGCCTCGGTAAAAGGATATGCATTTTCCTGATACAAATTTATAAGATTCCTCCCCAGTTTGGTAACAGTTTTGCCATCAGCGCCTATGATTACCAAACAGGGGATCCCCTGCACATCAAAGTACTTATATAGACCTTTAATAGCAGCGTCCCCAAAAGGAAGTGATAGCCATGGCATCGAACCAAAGTAGGACTCGAATGAATCCTCATCACGGTCATTAGAGACGAAGACTATTTCGAAATCCTCACCTCCTTGTTCTTCCAGCAATTGTTTGATTTTGTGGTAGATTGATATCAGTTTGGGAGTAAACTTCAAGCAGGGAAGGCACCATTGCCCCGAGAAGTAGAGTCCAACCGTCTTCCCTATCAAGGAATCAATAGGAACCTGCAAAAATTAAATAACCATTATGTATATGGCATCTAAGTGCCAGCAGTCCTTTATAATTAGACGATCTATAAATTTTACCATAACTAATCACTATGATTAGTGGTATGCTCTGGTGTTGAATTAGAGTAACCTCCTCTCACCCTAAACTTTACTTTAGCCAAGAAAAAAAAAAAAGTGAGTAACGAGAAAACTTACCTCTCAACCTTGAAAGAAAACCAACCTGATTAGTTGGGGGATGACCCAAAAGATAGTCTCTATCATGGTTAGTGAGTAGAGTGGTTAATGTCTGGTTCTCATGTTTCAATTCCTCCTCCCTATGCAATTCCTCCAACTTCTCCTTAGTAAAAGGGAAGGCTTGGTCCCCATACCGATAAATGAGTTCGACTCCATCATACAATGTGGCTTCATCCTTGTTATCACCAGGGTGCAAAATAATCAAGCAAGGAATGCCTTCAACCTCGAATTTCCGGTTCAAGGCTTTCTTTGACTCCAAATCAGAAAATGGAACAGACAGCCATGGCATGCACGAACGGTAATTATTGAAGGCTTCCAAATCTTCATCGGATGACACAAAAACGATCTCAAATTCAGACCCTTTGCTCTTCAGTTGCTCATAAACACTGGCTAGTAGCTGAGTGAAACTTCTACATGGAGAGTACCAATTGGCAGAGAAATAAAGGCCTAAGATCTTTCCTTCAAGATCAGATACTTTCACCTATAACAAAGAAACCAATAATGTTAATTGTCTTTTGTTGATTTCTCCCTTGAAGGGGGAATTTTGACCACTTGTCATACCTCAACATGTTGTTTAATCACCTAGTCAAGATCTCATTGACACCATAAACATGAATTGATCATTGAAACAATGAATAGGCAATCAAATCGCACATCTCTCTTTAAAAAAAGTATTTTAAAAAATATTTTACAGTTTAAATTATATTAAATTATATAATATTAATTATTAAATAAAAATTAAATCTTTTAATATTAGAATCTTCTCGCATGTAATAACATATGTTTTAAAAGTTAAAATAAGGTTCTTATTTCTCCCCTACCAATTTTCTCTGAAGTAGTTAGAAAAGGAATTTTTTTTTTTTAACCATGAGAAATTTTAGAGTAATTGAGAAATATTATAACTATCCCAATAAAAACTTAATTCTCGATATAAATTAAAGTATTTAATACATATTACTAATCCACTAAGTTCTGCCACTGCGAAAAGGATTAAGTTGGGTAACTTTGAAACTAATCAATTCTGAATTGTTTTACATAATTTTATGGAGAAGACTAGAGCTGTTCCTTCAGGCCTGTGCAGAAGGGAGGAGAGAGGGTCAAACTATTGCCATGGCCCATGGGGGTCAAACTATTGTCATGGTTTGAATCTAGCCTTTTATAATTACCACCTAATTAGCCAGGACCTAGTGGTCCAGCGGTTACTCCCTTTGAAAAAAATGATGTGCCAGGACAATGAACTTTTGGTTAAAATGC